TCATATATGTACAGAACTTGTTGACATCCACCATAGGAATCCTCTCTCACGTCCTACACTGAGTAATACAATCGCATTAAGAGAACTTGAAAGGAGCCCTGATGGCATAGTAGGTTATACATTAGGCTGGAAACCACTAGGTCAGCAGTTTAAACCCATCAGCTGCTTCAAGGGAGAAAGATAAGGTTTCCTGCTCAAGTAAAGATTTGTGGCCTCACGTGGGAAACTGAGTACCGAGAGGATTCTCTATGCTCATATTTTAAGGAGTCTGGGAGACCTGAGACTCTGGAAGAAGGCCCTCACATCCCAGTCACATTCTGCAAAGTAAAAATGATTTCCCACGATGTGCCCCATAACAATGCCAATTTTAAGGTGCTGCTTGCAAACACATAGTTGCTTACTATACTCTTTTAGTTATAATTTTTTTATTGGGGGCTCATACAATTCTTATCACAATCCATACATACATCCATTGTGTCAAGCACATATGTACATTTGTTGCCCTCATCATTCCCAAAACATTTGCCTTCCACTTTAGCCCCTAATATCAGTTGCTCATTTCCCCCCTCCCTCCCCACTCCCCCATGAACCCTTCACCTTCATAATTCATAAATTATTATTGTTTTGTCATAAGTTACACTGTCCGACGTTTCCACCCCCCTCTTCTCTGCTGTAGGCAATACTTAGAGTCTTGTAATTGGTTACCTCTTCCTACCCCCACATTCCCTCCACCCTCTAGGCCTCGCCCCTCTCACCACTGGTCCTGAAGGAGTCATCTGTCCTGGATTCCCTGTGTTTCCAGTTGCTATCTGTACCAATGCACAACCTCTGGTCTAGCCAGATTTTTAAGGTAGAATTGGGATCATGATAGTGGGGGGGGAGGAAGCATTAAAGAACTAGAGGAAAGTTATATGTTTCATCGTTGCTGCCCTGCACCCTGATTGGCTCGTCTCCTCTCCACAACCCTTCAGCAAGGGGGTGTCCAGTTACCTACCGATGGTCTTGAAAGTGAACTGCACAAGGTTATCTGCCTGAAGGTTATCTACCATCAAAAGCAAGAACATCTAACCCAAAGTATGGTCTACTTCTTTCTGATAAGGAACAGAGATTGTCATCGCCACACCCCCCACAGCCCCACACATACACCAGAAGAGCTCAGAGACACCTAAGGTTAACTCAGCTCAGAGACTACCAAGGTTAGGCTAACATCTTAACTCTAGAACCGATCCATCATGCTATGTATGTGCCTTCCTGTCAAGTGTATGCCCCTAGTACCTCTCCTTCCTAGTACCTGTGTTAACTGTAGCTCGACCCTGTTATGTCTTTGGCCCTAATACAACCCCTTCCCATTAAGTATGTGTGTGATGTGGCTGGCATGCACAAGATTTTATAAGCTTGTGAGTGAATACATTCGCCCCATGCTGGTTCCAGTCTCCATTGGAAGAGGTGAGCCCTTGCATGTCTTGTCTGATGTTTCTTTAATTTACCCTTCAATGACACAACTGCCCCTTGGACCCATTTGGTTGTCCAGGCTGGTCCCTGACAGCCTCAGAGACCCACGGGCAGCTCTATTCAGCAATGACTCCAAGGCTGCGAGTGAGAAGTGAACTTGAAGTGGTCTGGGGAATTCAGCTCTTCAAATTCAGTACCATACCACAGGAACTCAAGCAACTGAGATCCTCCTCCCCATCAAACTCTGCCCCTAGGACAAGATGACCATCCCCAGAGGGAGGCACATTGGGTTAACAAGCACAATTAACACCTTTCTCTACGACCCAAACTGTCCCTGCTTCCCCCAGTCCCTCTTTTCTCAGAAGAGTATAACTAACATCTTCTCTACCTGCACATCTCAATTTCAGAAAAAAAAGAAATACATCTCCCACTTTCGCAAAAGGTTAGGAAGCTTTGTGTGTTTCCTATGCTTTTTTTGGCGGGGGGGGGGGTACCATCAAGTAGATTTTTAACTCATAGTGACCCCATGTGACAGATCGGAACTCCCCCACTGAGCTACCCTGGTGGAATTCTCCTCTGTCACATGGGGTTACTATGAGTAAGAATGGACTCTCGATAGGGCACCCACCAACAATCTGTGTGGGAAGTAGGCCTCCCGGTCTTTTCCCCACAGAGCCCTGGGTGGGTTTGGGTGGCCAACCTTTGCGTTAGCAGCCCAGGCCTAACCATTGTGCCACCAAGTAACTGGGCACTCAACAACCAGTGGAAGATAAGACTGCATTAACACTGTAGGGTTTTTTTTTTAATTAAATACTTTTATTAGGGTGCTCTTACATCTCTTATCACAATCCATACATTCATCCAGTGTGTCAAGCACATTTGCACATATGCCGCCATCATCCTTTTCAAATAATTCTCTTCCCACTTGAGCCTCTTGACATCAGCTCCCCATTTCTACCCCTTCCTTCCCCTGCTCACCCTCCCTCACGAACCCTTGATAAGTTATAAATTATTATTTTCATATCTTACATGGTCCTCTGTTGCCCCTCACCCACTTTTCCGTTATTCACCCCCCACCCTGAGAGGGGGTTATAGGTTGATCCTTGTGATCAATTCCTCCTTTCTCCCCCAACCTTCCCCTAATCCTCCTGGTATCTCTACTCTCATTGTTGGCCCTGAGGGGGGTTTATCGATCCTGGATTGCCTATGTTGCTGGCTCTTATCTGTAGGGAGGCAGGCTGTGACAAGCGCAACGGACTGTACTGAAGGAAATGTATGTTCAAAAGGTTTGGAAGAACAACTAGAGCGACTGCACATTGCAAAAGTATAAAAACCTTTGGAAAATTAGACAGGCCACTGCTCAATCTCTCAAGAGGGCTGACAGTCCCTGCACAGGTAATAAAACTTTTTCTTTTGAACTTGTCGGCGGTCTGGGTTGTTTTCTTTCTGGAAATGTACTGTAGGCTACAACAACTGAATTGTATGTGCTCAGCTCATTGCGAAGGTAAAAATTAAGGCTGTTTTCTTAGAAACAAAAATCTCTAGGAACTCTCATACCGAATAATTATTTATATATTGTTCAACTAACATCCACTGAGAATCTTCTGGCATTAGGAACTTTCAAGTTGGCACAGCAGTTAAAGCACTCGTATACTAATTCAAAAGGCTAGTGGTTCAAACCCACCAGCCTCTCCAGGAGAGAAAGGTGTTACAATCTGCGTCCTTAAGGAATTACAGCCTTGGAAACCCTGTGGGCCAGGTCTGTTCTACAGCGGTCCTCCAAGAGAGGAGTCCTAATCAACATGGCAACACACACCAGGGTTATAACAATGAATAAAGTATGGTATGCCCCCTGGAGACGCTCAGATGCCAAGGGCCAATAGAGATGTGAACATGTTCTGTACTTAGTACTTATGATCCCCACAAATCCCCAAACAAACCAAACTCACTGCCATCAAGTCAATGCTGACTCATAGAGACCACCTTGCGGGTTTTCCAAGAGTGTAACTGTGTATGGAAGTCGAAAGCCCAGTCTTTCTCTTGCAACTGCCCACCTCGGGGATTGCACCCCGACACTCAACCATTACACCACCAGGGCTCCTCGGTACTTAGGCTAGTAAGTACTACGATAGAGGTGAGTACAAGGATCTCTGTTAAAGTCAGGAAGTTCACAGGATTCCTGGAAAATGTCTCACCTGAATGGATCCTGTCAGAATGCAAAACTAATCAGGAGAAGAAATATGGTATAAAGAGTGGGACCGACACAAGCAAAGCCAGAGAGATGGCAGCATGGGAAGACCAATAACTATAGGCTCTTTGAATCCCTAGGGCACAGGGCTGGGAAGGTGTCAAAAAATGGGATTGTAGACTGTTTACACTGTAAGCAGCGGTTCTCAACCTGTGGGTCATGACCCCTTTGGGGGCTGAATGAACTTTTCACAGGGGTCGCCTAAGACCATGGGAAAACACATTTCCAATGCTCTTAGGAACCTATTATGCTCCTCTATCATCTCCAGGCAAGTCGGCACACATGCAGATACACCCACACGAGGTACCCAGCGTGAGGACTGTTACCCATGCTACACCATGCTTCTAGACAAAATTTCATTTACTTGTCATTAGGAATATTTCACAATATATAATTAAATATTGTTTTTTGTGAAGAATCACTATGCTTTAATGATACTCAATTTGTAACAACGGAAATACATCCTGCATATCAGATATTTACATGACGATTCATAACAGTAGCAAAATTACAGTTACGAAGTATCAACGAAAATGACTTTACAGTTGGGGGTCACCACAACACGAGGAACTGTATTAAAAGGTCACGGCCTGAGGAAGGTTAAAAACCACTGGCTTACAGTGAAGAGTGTCGGTCTCGGAAACCCACAGGGGCAGTTCTACCCTGTCCATGCTAGGACTCAGCATGGACGCGGTGGCAGTGAATCGGGCGTGCAGGGGAGTTATCTCTCGCTTCCTGAATGACGTGCAGGCACCTATCACAGGATCCAGTTACGCTGACACTGGCACCCAGACCCAGCCGCCGAGCATCACTAGCGGCTCTCTCCGCACGCCGGACTGGAAGCGCCCCGGGAGCGCTGCAATAGGGGCTACTTCCGGACGCGCGGGCCGGACCTGGGTGCTGCCAGCGCGAGCCGCAGCTCCGGCCGAGTGAGTCCTCCCTCGCTCAAGTAAACACCTCCGGAACCAAAGTAGCGAAAACCTCAGGAAATCTGGGAGGCGCTTTCACACACCCTGATCCTGGGGAGAAAGGGGGAACGGCGACAGGAATGACCCCCACACACGACGCCCCCCTCACCCCCTCTGCACGCAGCCTACATCCGACCCCAGGAGTGGCGATCTGCATCCTGAGTCTGGGCGGTGAGCCGGCCCGGTACGTCCCGTCCAGGAAGGACGGGCAGACGGACAGCGTCTGGCCCGGCTCCGCAGCCAGCCCGTTTCCCGGTCACTCCATGCCCCGGCCCTCAGAGGCGCAGAGCGACACAGGAAAGCCGCCTTCGGAGATCGGCTGCTCTGTTTACCTGGGTCATGCCAACCCCCACCACGAACACGCGGCGCAAGGAGGGACTCTTCGAGAGGGTGGAAGACATGTTTCCGAGCAGAGAGAACACTGGCGCGCGCCGCTAACTCGGGCCTGGACAGACTGCGGCTGAGAAGCTCGCGACCAGCCTCCTTTCTGGCCGACGGTGGGAGGCGCTGAGGGGCGGGGCATGTCCCGGGCTAGGAGGGGAGGGGAGGAGCTACCGGCGCGTGCGCAGAAACGTGGCGGCGCGCATGCTCCGAGGTGGGGAGCGTTAACTAAGGCCTGGACTGGGTGTTCGCAAGGTTGTAATGTACCAGCTGCTACTGCTCTTCGCTCGTCCTCATTTGGGCTCTCTACAATGAGTGTCGCCTGAGACAGAGAACAGGGCTTCCAAAAGTTGGCCAGACCTTTTTGTTATTGTTAAACTGCAGGGGGGGGTGGGGGAGTGATGGCATGATGAAATTCCTAGGAGTTTTGGAAATTATCGTATTAGTAGTGGTGGTAATTATAGAAATCAAAGTAAGGATTAAAGCTCATCAGAGTGTACACCAATAATGAAGGTGCGGAGAATTCTGTTGTGGTTCAGAGCCACTGAGCCACTTCCCATTCCCCACAACAGCGGGGAAACACTCGTCCTGCGCCATCCTCACAATCGTTGTCCACTGTGGCAGCCACTTTGTCGATCCATTTCTTTGAAGGGCTTCCTCTTTTTTGCTGACTCACTACTATACTAACCACAATGTCTTCCTCCAGGAACTCCTGGTAACTTGTCCAAAGTCCCCGAGGTGAAGGTGAAATCTCAAAATCTCTTGGGTCATGTTCATCTCTGTCCTCAAAGAGACATGCTTACTCTTTAACATGTTTAAGGAGATATTTTGCAGTAGATTTTCCCAGTGCAATACATCATTTGATTTCGTGGCTGCTGCTTCCATGCTTGGTCATTGACTGTGGATCCAAGCAAAATGAAATCCTTGACAACTCCAATCTTTTCTCCATTTGCCATGGTGGTGCTTACCCTGGTGGTCCTTTTAAGGGTTTTGTTTATTTGTTGAGGTAAGGGTCTCTGGTGGTGCTATGAGCTTAGCATTGGGCTGCTAGCTAAAAAGGCAGAGCTTCACAACCACTGGGACACTCCAGAAGAAAAATGAGGCGAGGTACTTCCATAAAGATTTATCGTTTCAGACACCCCTCAGAGCAGTTCTACTTTATTTAGGGTCGCTATGGGTTGAACTAGACTTGATGGCAGTAAATTATGTTTAAGTGTAATCCATCATGAAGGAACTTTGATCTTGATCAATAAATGCTTGGTGTCCTCTCTTTGCTTTCAGTAGGAAAGGTTGTGACATCTATATATCTCAGGTTGTTAATGAGCCTTACTCAATCCTGAGAACTCATTCTTCTTAAAAATCCAGCTTCTCAGATTCTTTGCTCAGCATACAGCTTGAATAAGTATGGGGAGAAGATAACAATCTTGACGTACGCCTTTTCTGACTTTAAACTCCCTCTTGATCCATGTACAGGTTCCTCAGGAGCACAGTGAAGTGTTCTAGAGTTCCTGTTGTTCTCAAGGCGACCCATTGTTTGTTAGGATCCACACAGTCAAATGGCTTGGCATTGTCAATAAAACGCAATAAAATACATCTTTCTGGTATTCCCTTTCAGCCAAGATCTCACTTGTTCCACATCCTCTTCTGAGTCTGGCCTGAATCTCTGAGAGCTCCCTGAATCTCAGATACTATTACTACCCCTGTTATCCGGATTTTTTTTTTTAAACTGTTTAGAGTTTGACAGCCTTCTCTCAGGTCTAAGATATGCAGATACCAGTGGTGGCCTGCTGGCCTATAATCCCTCCCCAAACCAAACTCACTGCTAGGGACTCGATTCGGACTCATAGCGACCCTACTGGACAGGGTCGAACTGGCCTTTTTGTTTTCCAAGGTTTTTAAATCTTTAAGGAGCAAACTGCCTCATCCTTCTCCCGTTTAGCGACTGGTGGTTTGCAACAGGGTCCTGCGATTCGCAGTTCAGTAGGTCACCAGGAAGCGGCCGGGCTCTTCTGCTGGCCCGTAGGTGGAGCAGTTTCGAAGCTCGGCCCGGCGGCGAGCTGTCGGCGGAGGGAAGGCTTCTGAGGGTCTGGAGCGCCGCCTTCCACATTCGTGCCCAGATGCTGCGCTCCCTGTCCCGTGCCGTGCGCCCCTGGAGGCCCCTGCGGGCCCGAGCCCACGCTTCCGACGGGGCGGCCGGGGCCCCCGAGATCCAAGTGCGCGCCCTGGAGGGCCCTGACCAAGGTGAGTGCCCAGGACGCCGCTGGAACAAGCCGGGCACGATGCCCCCGGGAAGGGGAAGCGGGGCGCAAGGCGCGTTGGCCGCTTGCCTACTGTCCATGGGAAGACTGAGAGTTGGGGAGCGGGGTCCTCGTCCCCCACTCCAACGCCCACGCCCAGCTTCCGGAGCGCACAGGGTCCAGGAAAGGGGCGATCACTTCCCTGGCTGTGAGCCGAGTAAGGGTGCCCCTAACTGCGGTCATAAGACTGTGGGGCGGGGCAGAGGAGTCCCGTAGCAAAAAGGTCACCCTCGGCCCGCTGCGGGAGAGTTAAGATGGCAGAGGTCCCGGGGAGGGCTGTACCCCCAGAGTCCAGCCAGCGGCCAGGGCACGGAGGCCATGGAACCAATCGGGCTCGCGGAGAAGGGGGGGGGCCGGAGGTGGAGGAGGCTGGAGGGGAGGGGGAAAAGCAGGGGGGCGGGCATGCTAGTCCCGAGGCCAGGGGCTAGTTTTTGCCGCCTGATGATTCCAGCAGGAAAGTTCAAGTCAATGGCAAACAAGTTTGTGCGTTGTCTTGGTTTTGAATCTCGGGGGCCCATTCGATTATGTTCAATCTGTGTCGCCCGGTCCGCTGCGCGCAGCCGTCTGCACGGGAAGGCTGCTCTCGGGTCTTTGCTGCCCTCCTTTGCTGTCCCATTCTCCCCGCGCCCCCTGGCCTTTGAGGTAGCTTTGTGCACGTTGTTTTAAGTTGCGTGAATGTGAGGTATTTATTCTCCGCCCTCTTCCCACCCCCACTTTGACATTCATATTTGAAGAGCTGCTTGATCAAGTAAATCTAGTTGCCTGCCTCCTGCTGTGCAGACGTAGGGTGTACTTAGGGTGGACACCCAGGGCCTGCGTCCCTTTGGAGAGAACTTGGTGAACATTAATGTGGCCATGTGGAATGAATGGCTGGGCCTTCAATAACACCTCATCCTCTCGGAAAGCTATGAATCACTTTGTTCCCGGCTTTGAAGACTACGAACCTGAGGGGCAGAAAGGTTAAGCAAGGAGCCCCAAGCCCAGCTAATTGAGTGGCAGAGATGAACCGGTTCTGATCTCAGAGGCTGTTCTCAACCCCGTTCACATAGGAAAAAAATCACCGAAAGTTTATTCTGAACAGTTAGACATAACGGGAGACCATTTGATTCGAGAGTGAAATCAAAGGGATTGAAGAAGTTAGGTACAAGGAGACTTCTAAAGATCATTGTTTTAGGGTACAAAAGAGACCCCCGTCTCAGATGTAATCTAAGGAGAACGTTTATGAAGGCTTCAAAGAGACAAAGATGCAGACACGTTATCCGGAAGAGGGAAGCCACGAACTCACGGTAAAAATGGCATCTAAAGGATTCACAGTTGGGAAGGAAGCAAGACAAATAGGGTGGGGGTGGGGTGGGCAAAGGAAACTCACAAAAGCATGATTGGTAGCAGATCAATACATCAAGCATGATTGGTAGCAGATCAATCAATACATACAGGTAGGATTACAGAAGCAGGAACAGGACATGATTGAGACACACAACTCGTGAGATAGAAAGGCTTACAAAGATTGATCCGGGGCCTATGCAGGGTGAGACAGACAGGGCATGACTATGTGACGCAAAACCACTCCCACCCCTCTCCTACCATCCCATTGGCAAGTCCCTAGGGCTGCAGGAGACTGGTGGAGGCAATCCACTCTTCTAGGCATTTTGCCTGTAGTTAAGATTAGGTACATACTTGGGTAATGATCAGAAAGCATTTAATGGAGGCTTAATCTATGTGGGGTCTCCAAAAATGAATTTTGCACCACCAACCATAGCCTTTTGCAAAACAGGGTGCTCAGAATTCAAGCTCTAATACAATAATAGCACCCAGGAAGAGAGTGCATTTTGTCCATCAAAATCATCTTCCTCATGCAACAGGTTAAGGATGCTTCATAGTCAAGGAGTAGGGGAAGGGGTCTTCTGGAGCAGTCTGGCCTATGAGATCACACACCACCACCACCACCACCACCCCTGGTTCTCAGCTTGCTCTCTGCTTTGAGGGGCACGTCCACATTCTGGCTGCAGGTATGGTTAGCTGAGTTCTGCCCTCCACATGGAGATGATTAATTTGGATTTCTAAATAAATGGTTCTCAACCTTCCTCATGCCGCAACCCTTTAATGCAGTTCCTCATGTTGTGGTGACCCCAACCATAAAATTATTTTCATTGCTACTTCATCACTGTAATTTTGCTACTGTTATGAATCCGGCAACCCTTGTGAAAGGGTTGTTCGACCCCCAAAGGAGTCGCGACCCACAGTTTGAGAAACCCTGTTCTAAAGGTTTTTCAGTTCATTAGGAATGCTAACAGAACTGCAATATTTAACCCTATAGAGGGAGACTCTGGATGATCTTCTAAGCCTCAGTGAAACACTGCAGGACAGTGTAGCCTGGATTGCACACTCTAGGGCAAGGGCCCTCAAACTTTTTAAACAGGGGGCCAGCTCACTGTCCCTCAGACCCATTGGAGGGCCGGACTACAGTTAAAAAAAAAAGCTATGAACAAATTCCTATGCACACTGCACATATCTTATTTTGAAGTTAAAAAACAAATGGGGCAAAAACACCCGGCGGGCCAGATAAATGTCCTCAGTGGGCCGCATGTGGCCCGCGGGCCGTAGTTTGAGGACGCCTGCTCTAGGGGAACCATGTATTTTTCTAGGTCCTTTCCATTAGGAAAGCCACATGACAAGTGTCCACTGCAACCATCAGATAAGACGGTCAGCGTAGCATATATGACACACAAGCATTCTTTTTCCTGTCCTCCATGGCCCTGCAGGCAGAGTTGTCCCAAGAGCCTTCCAGGCCTAACATCCAGAGGGGTGCACACAGACCGCCTCTGTCTTAGAGCAATACAGAAAATGATGAGACCAGAGGCTGCGGTGAGGAATGAGGCAAACGAGTAGGGAAACCAAACCCACTGCCGTCGAGTAGATCCCAGCTGATCATGGCACTTTATAACATAGGTTCCTAAACTTATTAGGCCTACCTCTCCCTTTTCAGGAAAAAT